AATTAGAAGTTACCAAAAGCATTGTAAGTAAGTCTCTATTTGTGGCTTCTCGTGAGTTCTTTTCTTGTATGATGCTGTCGAAATCTACAACAATCCTTATTTCGCGCTTCCTGTGCTTCTTCTGATGACAGCTGTCCTATTGGTAGAAGTGAACTATTAATAACATCCGCTCAATGAATGAGAATCTTATGCAGAGTGGTTCGCATGTAATACTAAAAATAGTCTTTTATATATAACTTTCTTGTCTCCCCTGCAAACTTTTGAAAATGGGTCACATTAATATCAAAACCAGTTGACAAGGTTATCAATATGATTTTTAAATTGTATATTAAATTTTCATTTAAGCCATTAATTTCTGCACTTAATTTAGTATTATGACAAAATCTGCGTGCAGTATTTCCTTCACCTGTAATATCTTCTTATTATTTGTTTTATTAATTAAAATAAGTATTTGTTATTATCATATATATTTAATATTTTATTTAAGTCATAGTCAAACGTTGTTGCTCAGGCAACATCTCAAATGCTTCTGTCCTCTAAAAGCGGCGCAGCTTATTTGTTTATTATTAAGGATTAATTTATTAAAATTAACATTTTAGTAATGGCTTGAACCTCCCTAATAACCTCATACGTTCTATCGGGAAGTGAATCATACAAAAGTTTAATATAATCAAGGGAAATTGTAGCCCCTGCTTGTTGAAGTGCTTCAATTAGTTTAGTTTTTATTGAATATTGTTTTCCCGATTCATAAACTTTTTTAGCCAGCCATCCCCAAACATTTTCTATTATGTTAAGGTCGAGCGAGTATGGTGGCCAGTTCAGAACAGCAACATTTCTGGACTCAATGAACGATTTTACAATACGGGGAGTATGTATTGGGGCGTAGTCTTGTTGGAAAGTCCACGGCAATTGTCCAAAAAGTTTCTCCTTAGTGTGATTTTGCGTTCATAGTTCTGTTTAAGAATTGGAGTTCAAAACTCTGTCCCAGCAAATACAAATTTTATTGTTGAGTAATTTTCACACAACGTTCAGAAATAGAACATACATTAATTGCCTTAGTTTTCACAATTTCAAATTTGTCTGGATCAATAACAACATTAAAATCGTAACTCCAAATCTCACGTCCAATCACTATATCATTTCGTAGATAACCATCAAGTACCACATAAAATATTATTTCTATACAATTTTCATTTATAACCACATTACTTAATACTTGAGGCGTACCCTTAACTTCATTGTATTATTAAATATCTTACCAGATAGCTTTTTGGATATACTTTCCTTAATTAGTGAACATTCAGCACCTGAATTAAAAGTAATTGGATAGGACTCACCACGATGCATCAAACTTCCTTTTGGTTCAACAATGAAACACCGTTCGCCTCTTCTCTCGTTGCTGAATCTTCCATAGCTAACAGCTGTATTCTTTACTTATGTGGTAGATATATGTCCCAACTCGCCACATTTATAACACGTAAAGGTCGATTTGTGGTGAATTTTCTCTCCATCAGCATTATGTCGACTACAAACATTACAATGAACTAAAAAAATAACACCACAACACAGTTTTATCTATTTTACACACAACACAACTGCTATCATCGTCTCAAGCACCTAATATAACACTTACTGGTAACAAATATTGGAGATATCTGAAGTAAAGTTTATTTAATAAATATTTACTTTATTCATTTTAAACTACTTACCAAAATCCACCCTCGCATGAATCTAATTGCAGCATGCACTCACGACATAAGCAAGTGATCTGCAATTACATTGAAACAAAAATTAAAACTTTCAAAATATAATTAATTAAATGAATAATGCACTTACCTTATTTATTTATAAATTATATTTATCTTTCGTTTTGGAACACATTTCAATATTTATTAAATTAAAGTAAAAATTACACCGAATTACACCAATTTTTTAAAGCTGGTAATAAACCTATTTCTGGTGATATTGGATTAGGAAAAACTGCAACTGTTCCAATTGTTATTAATAATATTAATGATGTATATGCAAGAACAATTGAATCATATGGTACATTTCCTCCTATAAAAGGTGGATTTGGTTATGATACTCAACCACAATTACATGTTGGTTTAATTGCTACTCCTCAACTTAAACCAACAGATAGTTCTATTAATTATTTAAATAGTGCATGTTATTGGAAAGTAGAATGTTCTATTGAAATAAAATGTAATATATCATCAGCATTTGGAAAAGGATTTAGTGTTAGTTGGCCTTTGGAAACTTCATTTTGTGCTAATTATGACAGAGCTTATACCGATGGTCAAACATTATTTGGTGTAACGGACGATGATAATGGAAGAGTATCTGCTGAACAAGAAGATATTGATGATGAAGATCAAATAGAATTTGAAGTAATAAAAAAAACAAAATTATTGAATGTATAATATATTTATTATATAATATTATATTTTTTTAATAAATGATAACAAGATAAAGGATGTGGTTTTTTTTTATAATCTCTTAATTTTAAACATGATCTCCATTTATAGGTGAACATTCTAGATCGAAAAGCTAAATCATTTGGAAATACATCATTATTAGACAAAATTATAATAGGTGTTCTCATTATAACAGCATCATTACAATATTTAACTTTTGCTGTTACAGTATCACTACCAAAGAGCATTTTTAATGTCTCAGTAGCAGAAGGCTCTAATAATGGTTCATTCCATAAAATCATTCTTCTATCAACACACTCCATTAATGGAAATGAACAATATCTATTAAATTTTTCAACCTGACCAAAATTTAAACAATAGTGAATAAAAGTATCAAAAAAAAAATTTTTACCAGCATTTGGTGGTGATAATATAAATATAGTATTTTTTTTTGGAATATTTTTATCAATTATATTATACAAATTATTTAAAAATTTTGATATTTGATGATCATTATCATAAAATTGGAATTTTAACAATTCATCAAGAATTTCTATTGATTTATTAATAGTGAAATAATAATTATATAAATTTCCAATGGGTGCATTAAAAATTAAATTCTGTGGTTCAATTGATTTTAAATACAAATAAATTTCATGAAAACTTAAATTATTAATATAATTATTTATAATACGAATACAATTTTTAATCAATATACAATTAATATCCCAAAACTTAAATTCCGATGTTAACCAGGCTGATGTATTCAAAATGTGATGAATTGGTGCTGTTGGATGACTTTTTAAAAAATCTATTATCTTGTCTCCCTTTCTTCTTTTTTGACTCCTATTTAAAAAAAAATTTTTAATGATTTAATAATAAATTAATAATTTTATTTATTTACCTGGTATTTTGTTGAGTTGATTCGTTACATTCAGCAAAAGTTTCATGACCAATTGATGATTCGGGTCCACAGGAGATTGAATCAAAAAAGTTGAACGATAATTCGCTTCCTTCCACCATTCCATCTTTGGCTTCTTGGAGATCTTTGAAAAATCGTACACATCTAGCTTTACTACTTGGAAACCACGTTCTCCCGGTGATGTTATAGTATAAGTACTTCCGGGTTTCCTTCTGCAAATAGATTGACAAATTGATCCAATGTTGGATCGTGAATTTCCAACTTGGAACGACTCGTCTAGAATATCTTCTATTGGTCTAAACTTTGAGATGGATAAACTTTGAGAAGGCACATCTACAGGAATTATTGAAGTATGTACAGTCATGGACGACATGGATGTGGTTGTCGTGAAGCGCGATGATGAGGATGGCCCCTGAAAATTTTCTGCATAACTGTTCGTAATCCATGTCGAAGTTTCCATCGTTATGTTCACATCCAAATACGTCGTGGACCACTCGCTGTTTAAGAGAATTGTTACCAAATTCTTCAACGAACACTTGCTTAATTCGTTCTTCTGGTTTATTAACTGTTTTTGTACAAACAGTAGGGAGTCCGTCAACAAATGTAAAACTCGTTTGGCTTCGTATTCCTTCTTCATTAGAGACAGCGGAATCAAGCAATCTAAGATCAAATTCGAATGAATTAGAAATTCCGGCGTCCAAATCACCAATAGTAGTGAGAGCATCGACATATGAGTAGCATTCTCCATTAACATACTCGCTTCTTTCATTTCCTGCTCGACATTTATAATTTTCTTCTCTTCCGCTTCCATTGCTAATTTCCTCTTCTTCGTTTTCTTCTTCTCCTTCAAAATACTCATTTCCACTGCTTGAGTATCTGCTATCATCGTTTCGGAATCGCTGAATGCAAACGGCTGTCGGTTTTGAATTATAGATTCGTTTTCTGATTCTGATATCACTGGATCCCTCATTGTCAGTTTTTTCATTACACTCATGTTGTGGCGAATATTGATAAGTTAATACAATTTTAATTATTAATGACTATTGTGGAACAGGAAAATTATTGCATTTTCTAAAAAATAAGCACTGATGAAGTTCTTAATAAAGAACGAAATATTTGCCAACATTTTTAAATAAATGCGTTTAATTGTTCGGGTCTGTAAGCTGATAAGAATCAAAATACAAAACAAAAAAAAAATTTAAACAGACGATAAACAACATCATATGAATATTGATAAGAGCAAACACTGTCTTCACTATCACTATTAGAAAACATTTAATTTTACTATGAAAAATTCAGTCTTTATATACAAAATATGTTATTTAAATGTAACTTTTTTTTTCATTTTATAATTATATAAACATTTTATTAAGCGTTGGTAAAGATTATAACACATTACACGACGACGACGACGACGACTGGCTTCTGATTGGCTGACGCTAGCTGCGCAGTTTAGATTTACTAGTCATGGCTTAGCTAATCATGGCCTACGGCCGATAGCTGCCGACGTAACTAGCACCGAATGCATTTTAAATCACATTTTACAATAATCAAAACAAAACAGCAAAATAGCGAAATAAGACACCAAGAACTGCGAAAAATATTCGCCGTAAGAGAAACTCAAAGAGACGTAAAGTGCACAAGCAGAACGGCAAAGTAAACAAGAATTGCGTGAGATCAGCTGTAAATAAAATGATACGCTACGAAAAAGCTCGGTCAAATGTGTTTATAAGATGCGCATTTTTCTTATGCAGGAGATTTGGCATAGATTCACTAAGGCATATAGAAATATTATAGATGGCTTTATCCTTTTCACCAAATATAATTAAGGTACTGGTACAACTTTGTAGCCAGCGATTTCAGTGGTAAGTGCACGCTTCCAAATAACTCACTCGAAAGAAAACCACAATAATAATTTTGATACCTTACATTTTTATTTTATTTATATTTCAATTTTATAAAATCTTAATATATTGATATATAAGTGACAATTTTTAATAAAAACAACGATTTTTGATTTTTCTTATAAAATTTTATTTAATACTTCACGCTATGCAAGCTTAACTTCAACTGCTTTAAAGTTTTTTTCTGCTTCGAGCAGTAAGTTCTATTTTATTCAATTTAATAGTGTTGAGAGAGAGCTTGCATGTCACTTATATATTTATATATTTCTATATTGATTTTTATAGTTTCATTTTAAATATTATTGTTTTCATTTCAAATTCTACTTTAATTCACAATTTCATTTGTTTATCTTCTTAATACAATTATATCTTAATTTATTTCAACTTCATTCAATTATATTTTTAATTTCACTTTAGTTTTTCCATTTTCTCATTTAAGTTTATATTTTTTGATTTATTTTAAGTTCATCCTTAAATTATTTTTTTCAAGTAGAGTTAGGAACTCACAACCGAGTATGTTGAAATCTTTGTCAAGTTTTATCAGTGTTTCGCGACTGAGTATGAAATCTATTTCATGAACCTCTTCCAATACTACTTCTTTCTATTGACAAAGTTAACATATTTGATCCTCTGTTTTATACCCCCAATAACAATGTCAAAAATCAAGCTCTTAACTATGTTAAGTTGAAGCTTTGATTTTTGTATGGAAAATAACTTTAAGTTCTGCTCTTACAGACTTATAGCATGAAGTTCTACTGTTACTTTAGTTTGTAACATAAGCGTCTTCTGTTATCGTCATGACAATGTGGGAATTGCTGGTATTTACATAGCGTCATCTCTCAAGGTTTTTGCATGGTAAGGTATGCGACAAAAAGATAAGGTCAGTTTGTTTTTTCTTTGTGGAACTCAATTTGAGTGATTAATCTTTGGATCTTGTGGATTTTATTGTTCGATAGAGAGAATGCAACAAATAAATTCTAATATAATGAGTAAAAAAAGTCCCGTTAGTTTTAAATATATCAAAAAAGAAAAAAAAGCTAAATATTGCTGCGACAAAATGATAAGGTCAGTTGCAATTTTTTACGAAAACAAGTTTATTAATGAACAGAATAAATTTTTTTAATTAATTTGGCTTCCAATTTTTTGGATTGTTTTAAAAATACACCCCGGCATCGATCCTACCAGGCTCGCGAGTGTTGTTTGCCGAATTTCTCTCCAGGCATTCAATATGGCCACTTTCAGCTCAGCAACAGTGCTGAATTGCCTGTTATCGGCATAAACTTCACGTACAAGAATTCCCCACATATTCTCCATGGGATTCAGGTCAGGTGAGCGCGCGGGCCAGTCCAAGACTTCCACTGAATTGCCCACAAACCACTCCTTTGTTGACCGACTCACATGGATCGCTGCATTATATTGCTGAAAAACAAGCGGCGATTCTCGATTTTCAGCAAGAAAGGGCAGCAAACATGTGGAGAGTACTTCCTGGTATTCAGCACTGTTCATGCGTGTTGACGGAAATGCAAGAGGCAATGTTCCAATAGAGCTGAATAGAGCTCCCCACACCATCAACGAACCACCACCAAAATTTCTTTTTGAAAAATATTGAGGCTCCTTTCTTAAATCCCGCCAATAATAATTCAAACCATCTGGGCCATCAAAATTGAATTTTTTCTCGTCCGAAAAAATCATCTAAAAGAAAAAAAAACAGTCATTAAAACCTACAAATTATTTTCGTTTTATTTATTATAAAATTACTTGATGCCAATTGGTTGACATGTTTAATTTAGCGAATTCAAGCCTCTTCGCTTTGTGGTTAGCATTGAGGCAAGGAACTTTTTTCATTTTGGCTCGCTTCAAATATTCATTTCCGTTGATGGCTCTGAGTACTGTCCTCTTGGATGCAGTAAGCTTAAGCTCTGCCTTAATTTTTGCTCTACTTATAGTAGAATTTGAGGCAATTCGTCCAATGGAGCGCACTGTGGTCGCGGAAAGTGCTTTTTTTCGACCAGGACTCTTTTTTTTCCATAATTTTCTCGATCCTTTAAAAAATTTTGTACAACGCACAGTGATCTTCCAAGGTCTTTGGCGATTTGTCTCATTCCAACTCCTTCAACAATCTTTCCACCAATAAACCCTTTCTCGTAAGTAGTGAGACTCTTACCACGACAAATTTTCTCTTCAAAAACTGTTTAATAATTTAATTATTAAAATAAATCAAATTTTAATACAAACGGAACTCCCACTTGACCAAACAATGCAAAAATTGCAACTGACCTTATCATTTTGTCGCAGCAATATTTAGCTTTTTTTTCTTTTTTGATATATTTAAAACTAACGGGACTTTTTTACTCATTATATTAGAATTTTTTTGTTGCATTCTCTCTATCGAACAATAAAATCCACAAGATCCAAAGATTAATCACTCAAATTGAGTTCCACAAAGAAAAAACAAACTGACCTTATCTTTTTGTCGCATACCTTATTGTGCTATGATCAGCAAAAATAGTACAGTTCATCTTTTCACTGTATGTGTGTCATGAATTCTTAGGAAGATGATCACGCGATGTATAGATGCATGTATCTTCTCAAGTATTTACAGTAGCATTTATTGTTAGTCTGTGTCAATTTGATTTCATTATATTTGATTGTTCGGCACAGTGGGGCAATTTGGTAGAGGAATATTAGCATCAATGCTAATATGTAACTATATGCCTTCAAGTCTGCCTGCAACTCTTATCTTGTATGGATACTTGAGGTATATATTAGCCGCTGTAATCTGCTATCTAAGTTAGACAACTGTCCCAGTATAACAATTTTTTCAGAACTTATGTCAGGCTGTTTTGTAATAATTGAGTTCAATAGACGACTGGCGTACACCGAGAGACACTCGCCATCAGTTGGGCGGATGTGTTCAATACATTTAAAAACATAGCAGCTGGTTGTAGAAGTTAATTATATTTTCTTCACATTACTTAAAACACAAATTATTAAATGTTTAATTTTTATATTTATTATGTTTTTGAACAGATAATAAATGAAAATTCAGTAATTATTTCGAACTAATTATTTCTTAACTAAATCTTAAAACAGTTAAATATTTTAGTTCGTAAATAATTTTATATTCCTTGTAACAATTAATCGTTTTAGTTCATAAACAAGACGATTAATAGTTAATCATTTTAGTTAGTAAACAAATCAATAAACTGTAATATAATGAATGTAATAAATTATATATATTGTAAGCATGGGAATGTTTACATATTTCCAACCTACATAAATTCAATATAAACATGTAATAACAACAACACGATATTAGTAACTACAAAAGACGTTTTAGTTACAGATCATAGTAAACTACGTTTAACACTCAACACATAATTTAATTTCACTCACTGTGGAATTTCAATATAATCTAAAATAAAATAGATTAATTTTACTTAATATTTATTTTATATTAAAAAACTCACAAGTAACACCACACCCCATCTACATCGATAACATATTCAATTCATCTGAAATTATAATACAATTAACAATAAATAAAGAATTTTATTTAAATAAGTGAAGAATTACATACTTTATTTATTTACTATTTATATATTTATTTTATATGTATTATGCCTTGTCACAACATTACGTCTATTTGTTTATTGACTTCCTCGTTATGGACTTCTGGGTATCTATATAATTTTGAATAAATCGGGATATCGTTTGTGGTTGTTACTTTATGTTTGATTTCGTTCGAAAACGTTAGATTATCGTCCTCTCTATGGAATATCTGTGGCTCGTTTAAGTAAATCGTTGGAGTTGAACTAGAACGATTTCTTGCGAGAATGTTCTCGCTTGCTTTTTGTCACTTCTTTCGAGTTTGCCGTTTATGTAGCATAAAAAACTCACCATGCTAGAACACTATGGTGTGATGTGAGAAACTGATGAATCAAATCAATTTTCAATAGAGTCATCATACACACATCTTACAACGCATAAAATTACATGTATATATCGCATAAACACATACATATAATAAAGCACTACAAGTTGTATATAATTGACAAATACATAACGGTTTTAATATATATTATAACAATATATACGTTCCCACACATAT